GAATGGGGCTCTTGATGGGTAGTGGGCTTTAGGCTGGAAGGAATTTGTCCTACAATCTTGCATTGGAGGCAGTGTCTGCAAAGAGCTCCCGGCTCTGGGTGGTTGAGGGGCCAGGTGACTCTTAACAGGGGCTACTTGTCCAGGTGTGATTATTATGTGTCACCAGTCTTATCTCCTGAGTCTTTTCGAAAAGCTTCATTAGCTCATCTTTCATTAAAAATACATGTAGTAGCTGGGTCATGTTTCCCCAGGACGGATTGTGGGTTTCCACAATCGATTTGATGGTAGTTATGACTGCTTGGGGGTCTGACCGGAAGGTGGGAGTATCCCTCTTCCAAGTAAGCAAGTCAGACGGGGAGAAGAGGGTATGGGTAGGACATATTCAGGCTGGCCCATCTGTCGCCCGGGTACAGACTTGCTCAGCAGAGGGGCCATGATTTTTGGTTCTGGGTCATTTGAGGATTTCTGGGTTTCAGGTTCCTTTTTGGTTTTATTTATATCTGGGTCCTTAGGCCTGGAAAGTTCAGCCCAGCAATACCAGTAGGGTATGTGGGTCGGCTTCAGTCTCATCCTAAGTGCCTTTAGAGTCTGATATTTAAAAGTACCCCTCTCTAGCCAAATCTGGTTCCTGTGCTCATCTCTAAGCAAAGCCCATCTCTTACACAAATTTTTCACATTTTTCTTTTTCATACCTGCCTGGACAGGCAATTGCCTCCTGTCCCAGGCGTCAAGTAAGTCTTCCAGTGGGGAGCCTACTATGACCCTCAAGCTAGAGCTTGCCATGCTTCCCTATTTCCGATGTAAGGATTCACTTTGTCTCCGCTGGGTCCTGGTGAATTTTGGGCTTCCTAGTGAAGCCCCTCACCCCATCTCAGTTTTCAGACCAAAAAGGGTCTGGGAGGACTCTGCTTCCCTTTACAGAGTACGGACCCCTCCTCCAAGGGAACTTAGCCATCAATTTTCAGACCAAAAAGGGGTCCAGGAGGACTCCAGCTGCTCCCTGCAGTGAGTATGGGCACCTCCTTCCCTGGTCTTTTCCTTTTCCTTTTCCTGCCTCAGTTTTCGGACTCACTAAAGTCCAGGAGCACCTCCGCTTGCTTCCCAGAGGTATAGACTCCTCCTTTTCAGGGCTTTGCTTATTAATTTCTGACGAGAGGTCCTAGTCTACCAGTAAAAAGAAACCTATTTTTTTTTTTTTAAAAAAAATTCCTTTGACACTTTCACTGCCCTCTGGGCTCCTTTCCCTATTCACAGGTCTGACACTCCAGTTCTCCCCCTCCTTGCTTTTCTGGGTCCTGTCGGTCACGGCTTTGATAAGCTAGCAGCAGACCGGGGGGGGGGGCAGCTAGAGAAAACACGGAGGGAGTGGGATCCAGCTGTTGCCAGAGATGGATCACACACACACACACACACACACACACACACACACTTGACAATTCTCATTTTCTAATCCCTAAAAACGTAATTTAGGTGGTACTTACCCTCTTTCCAGGCAGCCGTTGAGTGCAAGACTCAAAAATTCCCTTTAATACCCATTGCTTACCGGGCAGGGTCTGTGGAGTCCTTTCCTACAGACAAAAGCATCTATCGCCAGCTGTTCGGGCCCGGTCTGGTCACTGGGTTATCTGGGGGTCTCTTCATGGTCGCCAGATTGTGGAGAGGAAAATTGCCCCCCCCCGCGGTGAGGATTCTTCCAGCCGGGATGCAACGATCAGCGCTTTGAAGAATAATTGAATTGAAGCAGAGCTGCCGGAAAGAAGTCTTTAATGGCAAGAAACCAAGATGAGTGACATTCAGCAAAGTTTCCTGGCTAGTTAAGAAGATTGATATCCAAATGTGAGTTTATATAACCTTTTCCGAGGTTCCAGTCTAACATATGCTAAAACCTGTATTTAGTGACATATAATCCTATGCCTATTGATGGGATAATTTTCCTATTTGGCTTTATTTGGAAGGAAACGGTCTAATCCCTGTTCCTAAAAGAAGCGGGGTTGGCAAATCTGGTTAGTTCCTGTATCTGTTTGTCTTACTAATGGGTTTAACAAGTGTCAGCTACCATGTTACCTGTCTTGTTACATTTTGTTACATTCTTGTGCTAGACTGCATTCTTTGCAGTTTTGCGGTATTCTTAAGTGTTTGCACTTGGGCTCGCCTGAGGTTGTAAGCTCTGGAAATGAGTCAGATAAGGTTTGTGTGCTATTTTTAAAAGGATTAAACTGTTGTGTTTTAATTATTTTGTGATTTAATTATTTTTCTTGCCTCAAGGTTTCTTCTTCTATCTGGGGAGGGGGGGTCTTCCTTCAATGGAATCGGAGAAGCTGTTTGATAAAGCCAGAGAGGCTCTCTAGTTTCAGAACAGAACAGAATAATGGAGCTGGAAGGGGCCTTTGAGGTCTTCTAGTCCAACCCCCTGCTCAAGCAGGAAACCCTATACCATTTCAGACAAATGATTGTCCAATCTCTTCTTAAAAGAGATGCTCCATTGTTGGAGCATTCACAACCTTTGGAGGAAAGCCATTCCACTGATTTATTGTTCTAACTGTCAGGAAATTTCTCCTTAGTTTTAGGTTAGATCTTACATTGGTAAGTTTCCACTTGTTACTTCTTGTCCTGCCTTCTGGTGCTTTGGAAAATAGGTTGACCCCCCCCTCGTCTTTGTGGCAGCCCCTTGGACATTGGTTTCCTTGGTACCTCTTATCATCCTTCAGATGTTCCATGTTATCCTATAGACTGCTGATTAAAGGGGTTTCAAGGCCTGCAGAAGAAGATCTGGTACCACATATAGTCCCAACCTCAATACACAGATCAGACTGTCAATGTGTTCTTCAGCCAGTCACTATTTAATCAATGCCAATGGATGTTGGGTAAATAAAATAGGATAGAAGGGAACCCAATGATCATCTAGGCCAGGGGTGGGGAATTATGGCCCTTTTACAATCTGTGAACTTCAACTCCCAGAATTCCTGAGCATGGCTGGCTCAGAAATTCTAGGAGTTGAAGTTCATAGATTGTAAAAGGACGCCTGATTGGCAAGCTGCCACCCTAGGCAGGATTGCTATTCTATTCCTGCTATTCCATTCCTGACAGAGAGCCCTTTAGTCAGTTCAGTAAAGCAGAATCCTCCATGTCCCTAGACTGTTTCTTTCATTATTGAACAGCTTTTTAACAATAGGATGTTTTTCCTAATGTGAACCCCAAATCACCTGCCTTATAAATCAAACCTATAGTTTCCAATACCGTTTCTGTTCCTTCTGAGACAATTCTGAACATTTCTATCCTACTATGTGGCAGCTCTTTGGAGACTAGGGGACAGCATCAATATCCCTTTGACTATTTTAGGACATCCGTGACATAGCTGTATTTATTTATATATATTTTCTGATTAATCAATGGATGGTTCACAGGCCATAGCTTCCAAAATTACTTAAAACTGGATATTATTTTCCTGGATTAAAATTCACACACAAACACGCACATACACACATACACACACATATATGTCTATGTATGTATATTTTAGGAGAGTGGTTAAGATGCTGGACCAGGACTATGGAGTCTAATCCTCCATTGGGCAAAGAAGCTGGGGGGGTATCTTTGGGCCAATCATACTCTCAGAGTCCTAACAAATATCTGTCAACCTATTTTATCTATTAGATTTTTATCCTGCCTTTATTATTTTGTTATAAATAACTCAAGGTTGTGAACATAAATAAAGCTCCTTTCTTCTCCCATTTTCCCAAGAATAACAATCCTGTGAGGTGGGTTGGGCTGAGAAAGACTGGCAGGCCCCCTTTCATGGCTAAGGTGGGACTAAAAGTCACCATCTCCTGGCTTCTAGGCCAGCACCTTAATCACTTCACCAACTGGATAAGCATAGTAGATTATGGCTTAAAATTTTTAATAAAGAGGTGTTCATCCTGAAGTGGATTTACTTAACAGTATTTCATTTTGGCTGCTGCTGCTATTGCTGCTGGCATATGTCTAATATTAATGGACATAGCTTGGAAATCATTACCAGAAGAGAAAGGAAGCTCTATTTTCTTAATCACACAGACTAGTATTCTTCTTGTCATCAGGCCACCTTATTATAAAAAATGTTTTGGTTTTTTGAAATTAGCTCCAGTTGCCTTAAAGTAATAAAGTTTAGAGTAAATCTTAATTGAGTTAATTGTAACTAAAACCCACTGGAATAAATGTGAACACAATTTTTAAAAAAACTTAAACATTTTCTTTGATCTGGCTTATAAATCAGTTAGAGAACCACATAGGCAGTCTGGAACAATACCAAATATAGGGAAGGGAAGTGAGAATTTGCAGTGCAACTAGTGCTGTGTCTAGTGACTAGAATATAATTCTTTATTTTTTTGATCAATTATTTTCCTTTCAAGTTTCTCTTCTCATGGGAATCAATAGGAAGAAAAGGAATAAGGCACATTTTTTTAAAATTTAGGAGTTACGTATATGTTATCCTCAGATTCCCAAAGTGTGCTTTTAACATGCATGCAGAGGTCTAGTCAGAGAAGGTCTGTGGCTAGAGTGGGATCTGTTCAGACAGTGAGCTGCTTCAGATCAGAGACCCCCAGATCTGTTCCAGTCCTCTCTTTCAGACAAGTCCTCCCAGACTCATTTGCCTGTAAAGCTTTCTGGGAATGCATCAGCTTCCTTTCCCATAGAGCAGCTTAAGACTTGTGGACTTCAACTCCCATAATTCTTCAGCCAGCATGGCTGGCTGAAGAATTCTAGTAGTTGAAGTCCACAAGTTGTAAAGTTGTCAAGGTTGCAACCCCTGCTGTAGAAGAGCAATTTCCCCTGCTTTCTAAGTTGGCTAAGCTGCCCTTGGGCGGAGTTTAATTTTATTTGTTATCCTTCACTTCATTTCCATGGAAACCAGTGACCCGAAGTGGAAGTACTGAAATGAGACTCTGCAAATCTGCCCTGTTAACTTTTCAGCCTTCAGTCATGGAATAACATTTAATCCAAGAGAAGAGGGTAAAACAATATGGACATACCTTTTTATTGCAAATTCCAAAGTAAAAAGATGTACAGTACAAAGGAAATCGGAGAAGTCAGATGCTATTCTTTCAACCTGTTTTGTTACTTTTAAAATGCATGTTATTTTTTTCTCCCTTCCCCCAAAACACCTTTCTCCCATTTGCTGTTGTTACCTTAAACCAAGCAAACCTACTGGCTGGGGTTTAAAGATGTGGACAATAAACACATTCATGAGATGGCATAACAAGCAGAATGCAGGAGGAAAAAAAAGTATTTGCCCTGATATCTATGGGGAGGGGGGGAAGCTTTCATGGAGATTTTAGCAGCATTAACAACACCATCTTATTATATTTTTCCTTTAGTCCATGGTTCTATCACATACATGTCTAGAACACACTGTTCATGTGAACCTCAGAAAAGCATTTGAACAGATGTGAATTAAGTTGAGCCTCACAACACCCCTGTGAGGTAGGTAATTACCCATTATACAGATGGGTAAAACTGAGGCACGCACAGAGAGGTTAGATAATTTGCCCGAGGTCAATCTGCCATTCTGTCACTCATTCACACAAAACTGAAAACAGAAATCACTAGAGTTCTGTTAGAGAATTATCAAATTCTAATACCTGAAAAAGACATTTTCCCATTCTTTTACAAAATCAGTCTCTCATCATGCCCTCTAATTCTCTCATTTTCTCTTCCCTACACACTCCCACAAAAACATACACACAAGTATACCTCCCTATATAAATGCAACATGCAACAAATGAGAAATTTTTATATGGATGTATATTTAATATGACACAATTTAATGTGGCACAATTCTAGTAGACATTGAAATCTGTCTTGAATTTCTCTCCATCAAAATTTTCCAATTTAGTTTATCACTAGCCTTAAATTGAAAATCTCTCCTTTTCATTGATAAATAGAAACTTTAAAAATAATACTTTGCATTCTGGAGTGGCTGAGTGGACTGTTAATATTAACTGCCCTTTTAAAAAGATTCCACATGTGCTATTTATCCTAACTGGGATCACGATAGTCCTGCTGAATTTTAAAACAGTGAATGCTTAGTGCTTCTACTGTATGGTCCAAAATATACTGATTCTTTGTAAAGGGTATTGACAAAACATCTACTCAGATGTTTTCATAAACACAATACTTGTATTCTGTGGCCGTGAAATTCTAAAATGGTGAACTTTGGAAAGAAGACTACGATAGAAAAAAATAGAAAATAAATCATAGTATGAAAGGGAGATCTGCAGACAGTGTACCACACATTCATTCAAAACAGGCTTGTTTCAAAGCAAATGTCAGTTCTCAGCAATATCACAAACAGATGCACAAAAGTAATTATATGCGGAAAAAGTTATTGCATGGTTGTATTCCTCTCAGAAGGACAACTTGCATAAGTCTCATGCAATTGTTCCCAATCATAGTTTGATTCCCAATTAAAGTATTGATGACAAAATAGGCACCGCAGCAACACAGCATACATTTGTTTGTTGACACAGATGATCTCCACATAGGAGAAGTAGCACAGAACAATTTTCTTTTCTGGCCACGTATCACTGTACAAGTGTTCAAAGAGAGCAAGTGGACTGTGAACTGTCTCCCTTGAGAGACTTATTAAAAACATAACACCTGGTCTTCTTTTGCTCTTAACTCCTAGCAAAGCAAGTGCATAAAGCAAGGATGTCTCATCTCAGCCCTTCAAATAGAAAGCTTTAAAGAAAAAGCCTAGTGGAACAAAGAATTTAAGAATAAGACATTGGCACACTGCTGCTACAGTATTCACTGGACGGATACAGAACTGCACAAGCCGAGGTCTGGATGTCCATTGACAAACCACACAGCTAACGCCCTAGCACATAACTGTTTCTGGAGAGAGTGTCACTAGTACATAAATATTAGGGAAAGAGGAAAAAAGGCATGAAACAGAGTGCTGCAAAACTACCCATTTCCTGTGCCAAGGTAAATGCAGCCTCCACCTGAGAACCTATATGTGAAAGAGTGATTGTTATGCTGCAAAAGAATACTGGCTTTTCTCAAGAGCTTACCTGTCTTAGCAGATAAGGGTGTTTACACACTAGTGCATGAAGCTGAGGTTCTTAATGTCATAAGAGGACAGATAGTCCTTCAAGCTGATTTTCTTTTATCATTTTTGTCAACATAGTATTTAAGCCCTTTCTGTTTATAACCGTCTAAACAAAAATCAGCTTGATCCAATTCTCTTCATTCCCTCCCTCCACAAGAGGTGACTGTGAATTTTCAGATGTTTTAACAGTTTTTCCGTTACTGATTATGCGGAATGCTTCAAAGCCTCATAATCACCAAAGCATTTGAAGAGAAAATATACGCAAAACCAGGAACCATGTATATCACTTTTTCAAAAGGAGGTATGTACACATAGAAAACACCTTGTATCATGAAATATAACGTGACTTCCCTAGTTGCATGTAGGAGGCTGCATTTTCTTGATCTATCTATCTATCTATCTATCTATCTATCTATCTATCTATCTATCTATCTATCTATCTATCTATCTATATCTAATTACTCTGTTGCCAAATACTGGTTGCCAAGAGACAATATTATACACCCAAAACTCAGCCCAAGGAAATATTCTCATTGGACCAAGTCTGGCCCAGTTCATTATACCTGAATGTACCCTGTATGACAGGGAATGTTGTAGCTGAATAACAATGCTCAACATTTGCTTTCCAATTTGTCCCAGTCTTTCTGGTCCTTACTTTTTCCCTCTCTTGGATTTTGAAGCATCAAAACCATAAAGGTTTGTAAGATAAGAGTAATTTAGCAATATTAACTTAGCAATAGTTTCCAACAGTTTTTCAACAAAGCATTATAGTCAAAAACTACACTCAATCTGAAACTGGCCATTTCTATATGCCCATAATATCTATTGGGGGAAAAAAAAGATAACTCAGTACAGTATAAATTGTTAGTCTTACTGGCTTATTCCTAACATCTGTTCCTACATTGTTATTTATTATTTTTACAGTTAACATCAAATAACCTTTTTAAACCTTACAACGTGAACTATCCAAAAGATCAAACCGATACCTTGGTAAAATAAAACCAAGAATGTTTATTTTGGGCTCTTTGGTGCATGGGACTACATAGCTTTCCAAGTATGTGATTCTTTGTTGGTTAACAATTGGAATAACTTTCTAAACCAGGAAATAATTAGGAAGATCCTAATTTGTCCATCTAAACTATTATTGTTCAATTTGGTGGGCAGCGTCTTTCCCAAGGTCTCAGGCAGAAAAGGGTCGTTCCCATTATCTGCTATACATCCTCTTTAATTGAACCAAGACTGAACCAAGATCATCTGCATACATACAGCTCATTTGCATGATTATGGACCTTTCCCAAGAATAATAATATTCAGATATTCTCCAATGGTTGGTTACGTGCTCTTATACTACTTGAAACAAATTAAAAACCCAGACAGATTTGTGGAAACTCCAATAACTGTCTCCAGGATTAATTCAGTGTATGATTCTTTTTCTTTCTGATTACTCTTTATCAGAAGGTTTAAAAAGAAGACCAAGTGCAAAATGATACAGGCTGCATTATTTTATGAAACAAAATATAAAAAAGAGAGCAGTACTGTAAATTAAAAACATTTCAGTGTAATTTCTCATAGATAGAATATTGACCCCCCTCTTTTTTTGCTATCTAAGCTAAAGAAAATTGATTCATTGGGAAATTGCTATGTGACGAGTGGTACAATTATTTGCAATGGAGTAAGATTTTTTTACTGATGCCTAGTAACCAGAGAACTTGGCTAAGGGCTGTTCTGGCTGATTGTGTTGTGTTTTAACAATGTGCCCAATTCTTAACTACCAAAAATAGATGATTTGCCAGCTGTGCCACTTACCAAAGAAGCCTGCAAGCAAGAATAGGCACATTTTTCCTTTCATTGTCAACCTAGACAATTGTGAAATGTGGACTCAGTCTATTATTGCATCCTCCTCTTCAATACTCAAATATCAAAAATCCATTATTATTGAGCAAAATTGACTGATTACTATGGGAACACATTACACCATTGTTCAGCCCTCACCTGTCAGATATTTTATATTTGAGAATTCTCTTTTGTACAAAAATTTGCTTTAATTTTGCTTTGTTTGGTTTCATTGATAATTTATCCATACCAAAGTCAGCTGCAGATAATCCAGTTTTACTGAATTGTCGGTGTCATCACATAAACAATCCAAACATTCATCGCTCTTAAATGACTACGACTCTTATAAAATACTTTTTTGAATATTTTAGATATAGGATTCTTTATTTTAAAGAACATTATCAGAATGATAGATTTGGAAAAAAAATGTTTTCTCCTTAGATTTACACTAAGTGGGAAGCATATTGTATTTTTTTTTTAGCCATAGAGTGGAAAATCTCATTGTAAGATTTATGTCAAATGATAGTCCATTTCCTGCTCATGTTAGCCTTACCACTACCATCACTAAAGATGCTAGGTTTCTATCTACAATGATTTCCATAAGAAGACATAAATGGCCTAATCTTGGAGTCATGATGTTATGAAGGGTTTCCACCCCCCCACTTTTAATCTGTTATATTCCAGTTTCATTCCACGTCTATGTTATCTTATGTTTTATAGTATTTTACTGCATTTTATTCAAATTTTCCTTTCTCTAGTTTTGGCATTATGACTATTGTATTTGGCCTCTTATTGTGCTGGTCATTGACAATAATTAAAGAAATCAAAGGGATGACAAATTATTTAATTATGAATGCTTATTCATTTCAGTTTATATTGATTATTTCCCATAAATGTTGTTTTCAGCTCTTTTCTATACATCATTCATTCACTAGGAAGATATTAACTTTCACTTCCAAAGAGATTATTATTATTTCAATTTTTAAAAAGAAAAGGAATTTATAAACAAATGAACTAAATGTAATGTTATTTTTATTAAAATTAATTTTTAGCAAACTGTTTTGATCGGGGGAAGGTAGGTGGAGTGAAACAGTGGGATTTAAAAACAAATGGTATTAAAATTAAATTTACATTTTCAAATGTTTCTCAATAAGTTTGAAATTTCTTTGACTGATTCCTAGTTTAAACCATGTTTTTCTAAAAAGCACTGGTTGTTTTTGATGAAATAATAAATTCCTTTCTCTTTCATCTCTTTAAAACAAAGTTCATTATAATGGTTCAGACCATTATAAGATGATTCATTTTTAAAGAAGATTTCCAAAATATAATGCTGATATATAAAAATACCAGAGTGAGGCTCCTAATCTCAGTGGATTCTGGTTAATTGGGATAACTGGTTAAAGAAATTTAAAATGAAAGAAACTTGAAGAAACATTGTGCAGAAACTAGAAAAAATATTAATTTTAGTAGGACATAGTTCACAGTTTTGAAGCATTTTCTTAACAGTTTTTTTCTTAAGCGAAGCTAGAGTAATGTAAGAAAATTCAAGTATTCTTAAATAATAAGCAAATATAAATATAGATTGCAGGGTATTTTTTACTAAAATTTGCTTAATAAAATTTGACAGCACAAACACTATATGTGCCAAGCTTTTCATTTGGAACACTAGTCCTGCTGAAGAATAAGTATGACATTTAGCCAAATCTTGCATAGAGTGGTCAAAATGTATTGCACCACAGAACCAAAATACAATCTAAATAGTTTTGTTGTAAATATATATTTGCAATAAAACTTTTGAGAGGATATTTTTCCTCTGAAGGGATGTACTTAAATTGACATCATCTGAAAAGTGGAAAAGAAAAAAAATATCTTTAGAGAGATAGAAAATTAAATATGGACAGTGGCATTAAGCCAGAAGCCACTCTATTTAATTTTTTGTAGTCCTTTGTCATGTACAAAAAGGCATGCCAGTAAAATAAAATGATATATTACAGTATTTATATTATTGTCTTAAAAAGTTCAGTCACACTTTTCAGCTCTTGTTGTTGTTGTGCTGTTTACAATGTTGCCTGTACAAGTGCATGTAATTTTATCATACATATTTTATGATTAGTTGGAATAAAACCTAACAAGAAAGAAATGTTTTGCTCCTTGTGGTATCTGGAACAGCAGAATTATTCCACTGATGTCGTGGTAGCTTGATTATGCATTTTAAAAAGCTCAACTTGGCACAGATCTCTATCAAATGACTTACTTTCTGATTAACCTTGTAATTGGTATCTAAGTTGCAAAATTCTAAATGTCAAGTGTTTGCCTCTAAACTAAAAGGCATTGCTAACTTTCTTAGGTTTCTTTTGATTTTGGAATATTTTAAATCTTTTTTTAAAAAACATGTTTTGCCCTTTTATAGATAAAATGGTTTTGGTCCACATTCAAACAGCCTCTTTCATTATGTTGCAGAAATTCAACATATTTCTTTACAGCCTTTTGCAAAGTTTAATTTTTAAAGCTGTATGGTTGAACAATCTTGACTGTAGTGCAATGCTGACATTGACCCAAGAACGATTCCATAAATCTGTGCCCTTAGAAGATGAATTATTATGAGGATCGATTTATTAAAAGGGGTCATAATGGACAGTTTAAAAAAATGAAACATGCCAAAGAAGTACTTAGAAACATAAATGTTAGTTCCTCTCCCTTTAGAATGGTCATCAATTTAGAGTTAAGACTGGTTGAGAGGTAGCTCCTCATCCCTCCCTGAATATGCAGGACCATTAGAATTACCATCATACAACAATATGGGATGAAATGTGGAACTGGTGAAGGCACATGTCAAATATGACACTTTTCCTCTCAGTGCTGCATCCATGTCACACTGCTACTTTGCTCACCAAGAGTAGGATGTTGCATTCACAGATATTTAAACTATTTTCCTAATCATTAAAAAAGTTTTTGGTTTGCTTTCCTTAGGGGAAAATGCAGCTCAAAGAATTGGATAAAACCATGTAGCTGCAGAAAATTGTCAATGAAAAAACAAACCCACTTGTGCCGTGTACGTTTCTCACATCAACAACACTCCAAAAGAGTGCAATATTTTGCCAGTAAATATGGCACACAATGCTGTAAACTCTTCTATCATAAGCCTGCCTGCAATTAAGATTGCTTTATATAACTGCTAAAAATGTGTCTTTGAAAGACAATATGTTGTTTTCTACAGTGCTTATTTCCAATAGAAAAAAAAGTGCATATGGCAGAATGGATACTTAACTCTAACTATCGCAGGATACAGAACTACTTGGTGAGTTTTCTAAATACTGAGATTGTACTACAACCACTTCTTGAACTGGAAGGGTTTTAGAGCAGCGTTTTGGTGCTGATTTGGGAAGTTACTTTTAAAAAGTACAAAAGAAGTTGACTGCATGAAGCTTATTAAAAATACACATAAACTCCTTGATTGGTTTCACTTTTCTCCTCTTGTGGGAGGGTACATGGAAAGATTAACACTTGGGAATTAGGCGAAAAGCATAATCATAGCTAAGAGTAACTCTCCAAATACAGTGTGCCATAGTCAGTGGATTGCCTCAAACATATGGCTTAACACATGGCCTGGACAGCATATTGAGTGTCTTGTGGTTTTATGATTCCTCATGCATGATTCCTGATCACAGCATGCCATCATGCAAATCATTTCTATGCATTGAAACGAGCACAATTTTATTTAATTTATTTTTGGAATCAGCCTGAGCGAGTTTGGCAAACTGAAAATACCTGATTACCCCCAACTCTCACAAACCATGGTGGAGCCCATAGAATAAAAAGTATGCAGATCATAAGTACTAAAGAATGATGATGATTAAATGATATGGGCTAAATACGTGTCATTTCATTTCAGCTCTTTGTTGTTGCTCTACTTGTTTTTTTCCTTCTTTTTTGTTTTTTGCTGCTTAAACTAAATGTCAGGTATGAAAATCTAGTTTTGCATGAATTAATCAACCCTTTAAGTGATATTTTTCCAGATTTTCTTTCAATAAAATGAAAAAAAAATCAATTTTTGCTGCTTTGGAAAAAAATATGAATCCTCAAGCAGCAGTTTTTGTCCCCTTGTTTGTGTGTTTTATTTTGCTTTTTTGTCCTAAGTTGCATTGACTGATGTGGAACATGCAGTATCCACCTGCCCAGACTGTATAAAATCCTTTTTCTCCTTTGCATTGTTTCCTGGTTGTTGTTTTTTAATATATTGGTCTAGATGGGTCCATTAAACAGGTGGTAGATCACTGCTTTGAGATGCAACATGGTCACACAATAAGCAGACTATGTTTGGTATAAGATCTTTAAAGTTTCTCCACAGCTGTTTGCTATTGATATATATTTTATCAGGAAGTTTGTAAACAATCTTTTCTGCTCATGGGTTTTCTACAGTTAATATTATTATTATTATAGATCATCTCAGCATTTGGATTCCCTGACGTCTTTTTGCCTTTTTGCTCTTTCGCGTCTCCCTTCTTCGGCCCGCTGTTTCTCTTTTTCTGGCTTAGTTACGCTGTCGTACGATGGGAGGGAAGCCGTGGATGGAGTGCCTTCTTTTTTCTCCCTATTTGTCCCTCCATTTTCTATTCTGTTGGAGACGTTTTTTCGGTAGATAAATCCCCTCCTTGCTAAACGGACCCTGTAAGCCCTCTGGATCACCACTGCAGAGACTTCCTCCTGTTTGCGCCGTAATGTGGTTGTGATGGGCTCATAAGACACTTTGGAAGGGTTAGAAGCCACAAATCTTTCTTCCATCTGTTGCCTCAAGATGTCTAGTTCACCACTGTCACCCAATACACGCTTGGTAAAGGCAAAGAGGATGTCCAGGCAATGGATTCTGTCCCCACTGACCATTGGCAAATCCATGGCAATGAGTTCAATGGTGTTGGGCTTAGGAACACGAAGAGGGTGCTCCAAAGCATCTGCAAAGTCTGCCAACTTGCAGTATTCAATGAACTGGGTAGCATCAGGGTCAAACTTCTCCCAGATCTCATAGAAGGTTTCAAAGTCATCTTCACTCAGTGGATCAGCACTTTCCTCTGTAGCCACACTGAAGTTCTCTAGAATGATGGCAATGTACATATTTACCACAATCAGAAAGGAGATGATGATATAGCTAACAAAGAAAAAGATCCCTACGGAAGGATTCCCACAGTCACCTTTGAAGCCACTCCCAGGATGTTCCTTTTCCAAATCACAGTCTGGAGGACGGTTGAGGATGGGTAAGAGCAACCCATCCCATCCAGCTGAGGTAGTGACCTGGAATAAGCATATCATGCTGTTGCCAAAAGTCTCAAAGTTGAACATGTCATCAATACCTGCCTCATGCTTGACATAAGCGAAGTTTGACATTCCAAAGATGGAAAAGATGAACATCACTAAAAAGAGAAGGAGGCCAATGTTGAACAAGGCAGGCAAAGACATCATTAAGGCAAAAAGCAAGGTGCGGATCCCTTTAGCTCCTTTGATCAGGCGCAGGATTCGACCAATACGGGCCAGGCGGATGACTCTGAAGAGAGTTGGTGACACAAAATATTTCTCTATGATTTCTGCCAAAAACATACCTTTAAAAATATTGAGGGGAGAAAAGAGAGTTACAATCGTGTCAAGTCATCTCACATTCTTTCTTCAGAAGTATGGAAATAATGGGCAAATTTAAAAGACAATTCATAAGACTAAGAAAATCACAGCTTGCTTTAAAAGTGACCATCTCTTGACCATTAGGTCCTTTTAGTAATAACTACAGGTAGTCCTCAACTTACAACCGGTTGCTTGGTGACCATTCAGCCTGAAAAAATGGGACCCAGATCTTAAGTTCTCACAGTCATAAGTCATAGCTACCTGACTGTGCTTCAGGTGCTCAGCAACATGCCTGCAGTTACAGCTGGCACATGACTACATTTTAGGACAGTTTGCTGAAAACTGGTGCTTCCGGTTTTCTTCAAAATCATGCCCATAGCAAACAATGGATTTCACACTTATAACTACGGTGTTTCAAGTAGAAAGTAGAAAAGTAGAACTCCTTAAAAATGACCCATGGTTAGTTAAACTGTTAAGCCTGCATAAAAGAAAAGAGTAAGAGAGGAGGCCTGCACCACTTTGGCAACCACTGCTGAAATAGCCTCTCTGCGTGACCGCTTACTTTATTAGACACAGAAAGCAGATGCAGAGGGCTGCCAAGGAAAATCTCAGTGTATCAAGCTAGTTCATATAAAAAGTTGTCCTTTGAACTGAGATGAGATGAGTAACGAGATGAGAGTCAATGGAATTTAATATATTCCAGGAATATCTCCATTGCTCCTCAATTAATTTTAATAGAAAACATTCTATATAAGTATCAATTTTAAGAGGCAATCTCAAATTACGTTGTAAAGTAATATAATCCAAAACAGATTAGTGACTATAAATGTAAAGGTTTTCTCGTCCAATCGTGTCTGACTCCAGGAGGCAGTGCTTATCTCAGTTTCTTAGCTGAGGGAGCCAGCATTGCCCTAAGACAAGGGTAGGGAACCTTGGCTCTTTTATGACTTGTGGACTTCAATACCCAGAATTCCTGAAGCAGCCATGCTGACTCAGGAATTCTGGGAGTTGAAGTCCACAAGTCATAAAAGAGCCAAGGTTCCCTACCCCTGCCCTAAGACGTTTCTGTGGTTATGTGGCCAGCATGACTTTGTGCATGTAATGCTGTTACTTTCCCACTGAAGTGGTATTTATTTATCTACTTGTATTTTGCATGGTTTCGACCTGCTAGGTGGGCAGGAGCTGGGGTGAGTAACAAGAGCTCACCCTGTCACGCAGTGCTCGGGTCTTGAACTTTCTGGTTGACAAGCTTTAACCGCCCCCTTAGTGGCTATAAAAGAACTGATTAATGATAGAAAGATCCAAAATTCCAGCTCTTAATAAGTCTCAGTTTCAGTATTACAAGTTCACATTTTCATTTCGATGTTCGCAACTTTACATTAGAATTTTCCATTTCTCCAGGCACTTTGATTACTGTGCTAGATATATGCAGTATCATGAAAATATTTCTATATACTTACCCACAACGGAGAGTATCACAACCACAAAATCAAAAATATTCCATCCAATAGTGAAATAATAGTGACGTAAGGCAAACATTTTCAGCACACACTCGCAAGTGAAAAAGATAACAAAGACAAAATTGATCCAGTAGAGGATCTCCTCCATCTCTTTGCTCTGTGTGTCAGTTTCAACCATCATAGTCACCATGTTGAGACAGATGAGCAGCATTATTAGTATATCAAAGGCTTGCTGAGTGACAAAGTCGAAGACAGTGCCTTGGATTTTGTTCTGTTATACACAGAAAACATGCATATGAATATTGTGAAATAACTAGTGTACCTTTGGTACTATCCAATTAAAGAAGATTTTAATAAGACAGTAATAGAGATTTTTTTCTTCCATTTTGAAGGGGCGCTTAAAGGCAGATTGAAAAAATGTTCAGTTAGCATGGTATTTAATGAAGCTTCACTGCATGTAAGTACATATAAGATTATAGTATGATTAGCTTCATCTGGCATTAATTTTTCTCCTCAGGCATAAATTTTACTAGAACTCTGAAAGATAGTATAGTAGTCCCAGGAGTGGGAGGATGAAATGGAGGCTAAAGATTTGTGGCTTTCTCAAGGCTCTCTAATATGGAAATTTGAATCAGAAATCTCTCAATTGATATTTTTACACATTAGCAATTATAATAGTTTTCCTTTTCATTCCTGAATAATCTCAATATACTTGGGGGTGAGGGGAGGGATGAAAGAGTACACTTGAGTATATAATAATAACAATAACAATACTACTACTACTACTACTACTACTACTACTACTACTACTACTACTACAGTTGGAAGGGACCTTGGGGGTCTTCTAGTCCATCCCCTTGCTCAGGCAGGAAACCCTAAACCATTTCAGACAAATGGTTGTCCGGTCTCTTCTTAAAAATTTCCAGTGTTGGAGCATTTACCGCTTCTAGAGGCAGGTTGTTCCACTGATTAATTGTTCTCACTGTCAGGAAGTTTCTCCTTAATTCTAGGTTGCTTCTCTCCTTGATTAGTTTCCACCCGTTGCTTCTTGTCCTGCCTTCAGGCGCTTTGGAAAATAGCTTGACTTCCTCTTCTTTGTGGCAGCCCCTGAGATATTGGAATACTGCTATCATGTCCCCCCTCGTCCTTCTTTTCGTTAAACTAGACATATCCAATTCCAGCAACTGTTCTTTATATATTTCAGCCTTCAGTTCCCTAATCATCTTAGTTGCTCTTCTCTGTACTCTTTCAAGAGTGTCAACATCTTTTTTACATTGTGGTGACCAAAACTATATACCAAAGTGTTCCAAGTATGGCCTTATCAAGGCATTGTAAAGTGGTATTAATACTTCACGTGATCTTAATTCTATCCCTCTGTTAATGCAGCCTAGCACTGTGTTGGCTTTTTTGGCAGCTGCAGCACACTGCTGGCTTATATTTAAGTGGTTGTCCACTAGGACTCTGAGATCCCTCTCACAGTTGCTACTATTTAGCAAGGTACCACCTATACTATACCTGTGCATTTGGTTTTTCCTTGCCTAAATGTAGAACCTTACTTTTTTCACCATTGAATTTCATTTTGTTAGATAGCGCCCAATGTTCAACTCTGTTAAGATCCTTCTGTATCTTAAGCCTATCTTCTGGAGTGTTGGCTATTCTTGCCAGCTTGGTGTTGTCTGCAAATTTGATGAGTTCCCCATCTATCCCCTCATCCAAATCATTGATGAAGATGTTGAAGAGCACTGGGCCCAGAACAGAGCCCTGGGGCACCCCACTACACACTTCCCTCCATGCAGATGCAGTTCCATATAAGGAATGGCATGCTAGAAAAAAATTGAAAAACTTACTAGAGGCCTGGGAATTGGCTTTTGAGGTTTTTTGGAGCCTAATTTTTTCATGGCATTGTAGTATTTCTTCTGTTCTTCTGTCATAAAGATATCTTGACCTCCAAAGTAAAGGGGAAGAGGGGAAGAAAAGGAAGTTGGTTACAATCCATTCAACCATGCTTGAGGATTATGGTGCATATTCAATGAGCAGGCTTTTCTTATTACTTTGTGTGGCAAAGAAATTGTGCCATTTCTGGAAGTAATTGTCTCACAGAGTTGGGTTCTATTTAGTTCTTTATGGATTACTGCCTTGTCGTGGCGAAGGGGCTTGCGTAACTCAATGAAGCTATAAGCTATGCCGTGCAGGGCCACCCAAGACGGACAGGTTATAGCAGAGAGTTCTGACAAAATGTGATCCACTGGAGAAGGAAATGGCAAACCACTCCAGTATCTTTGCCATGAAAACCCCATGGACAGTACTAAAAGGAAAAAAGATATGACGCTGGAAGATGAGCCCCTCAGGTCGGAAGGTGTCCAATATGCTACTGGGGAAGAGCAGAGGGCTAGTACTAGTAGCGCCAGAAAGAATGAAGCGACTGGGCCAAAGCCGAAAGGACGCTCAGCTGTGGATATATCTGGTGGTGAAAGGAAAGTCCGATGCTGTAAAGATTTTTTCTCCATAGGAACCTGGAATGTAAGATCCATGAATCAAGGCAAGCTAGACATAGTCAAAAAAGAGATGACAAGACTGAACATCGACATCTTAGGAATCAGCGAACTAAAATGGATAGGAATGGGTGAATTTAACTCAGATGACCATCAGGTATACTACTGTGGGCAAGAATCCCTCAGAAGAAATGGAGTAGCCTTCATAGTCAATAAAAGAATAGGAAAAGCAATACTGGGATACAATCCCCAAAATGACAGAATGATCTCAATTCGAATCCAAGGCAAACCATTCAATATCACAGTAGTCCAAATCTATGCCCCAACCACTGGTGCTGAAGAGGATGAAATTGACCGGTTCTATGAAGCCCTACAGCACCTTATAGAATTAACACCAAAAAATGATTCCTTATCATCATGGGGGATTGGAATGCTAAGGTAGGAAGCCAAAAGATAACTGGAATAACAGGCAAGTTTGGCCTTGGAGTACAAAATGAAGCAGGGAACAGGCTGATAGAATTTTGTCAAGAGAATATGATGGTCATAACAAACACTCTTTTCCAACAACCCAAGAGACGGCTCTACACGTGGACATCACCAGACGGTCAACATAGAAATCAGATTGACTATGTGCTCTGCAGCCAAAGATGGAGAAGCTGTATACAGTCAGTAAAAACAAGACCAGGAGCTGACTGTGGCTCAGATCATGAGCTTCTTGTTGCAAAATTTAGGCTTAAATTAAAAAAAAGTAGGGAAAAGCACTAGGCCACTCAGGTATGAACTAAATCATATTCCTGATGAATATACAGTAGAGGTGACAAATAGATTTAAGGAACTGGATCTGATAGATAGAGTGCCTGAAGAACTATGGATGGAAGTTCGCAACATTGTACAAGAGGTAGCAACTAAAACCATCCCAAAGAAAAAGAAATGCAAGAAAGCAAAATGGTTGTCCGAGGAAGCTTTGCAAATAGCTGAGGAAAGAAGGGAAGCGAAAGGCAAAGGAGAAAGAGAAAGATACACCCAATTGAATACAGAATTCCAGAGAATAGCTAGAAGAGATAAGAATACCTTCTTAAATGAACAGTGCAAAGAAATGGAAGAAAACAACAGAATAGGGAGGACCAGAGATCTCTTCAAGAAAATTGGAGATATGAAGGGAACGTTTCATTCAAAGATGGGCATGATAAAGGACCAAAATGGCAGAGACCTAACAGAGGCAGAAGAGATTAAGAAGAGATGGCAAAACTACACAGAAGAACTGTACAAGAATGAGCTTAACGTCCCAGATAACCACAATGAGATGGTCACTGACCTCAAACCAGACATCCTAGAATGTGAAGTGAAATGGGCCTTAGAAAATCTGAGCAACAACAAAGCTAGTGGAGGTGACAGTATTCCAGCTGAGCTATTCAAAATCTTAAAAGATGATGCAGTAAAAGTGCTACACTCAATTTGCCAGCAAATTTGGAAAACTCAACATGGCCACAGGATTGGAAAAGGTCAGTTTACATTCCAATTCCAAAGAAAGGCAATGCCAAAGAATGTTCAAACTATCGCACCATTGCACTCATTTCACATGCTAGTAAAGTTATTCTTAAAATCCTACAAGCTAGACTCCAGCAGTATGTGGATCGAGAACTACCAGAAGTACAGGCAAGATTTCGAAGAGGCAGAGGAACTAGAGATCAAATTGCCAACATACGCTGGATCATGGAGAAAGCTAGGGAGTTCCAGAAAAACATCTACTTCTGCTTCCTTGACTATGCAAAAGCCTTTGATTGTGTGGATCACAACAAATTGTGGCAAGTTCTTAAAGAGATGGGAGTACCAGACCATCTCATTTGTCTCCTGAGAAACCTATATGCGGGTCAAGAAGCAACAGTGAGAACCGAACACGGAACCACTGATTGGTTCAAAATTGGAAAGGAGTCCGGCAAGGCTGTATACTGTCGCCCTGCCTATTTAACTTATATGCAGAGCACATCATGAGAAAGGCAGGGCTAGATGAATCAAAAGTTGTAATTAAGATTGCCGGGAGAAATATCAACAACCTAAGATATGCAGATGATACCACTCTAATGGCAGAAAGTGAAGAGTAACTAAAGAGCCTCTTGATGCGGGTGAAGAAGGAAGAGTGCAAAAGTTGGCTTGAAACTCAACATTAAGAAAACCAAAATCATGGCATCCGGCCCTCTCAATTCCTGGCAAATAGATGGGGAAGAAATGGGGGTAGTGACAGATTTTATTTTTCTGGGCTCCAAGATCACCTCAGATGGGGACTGCAGCCAAGAAATTAAAAGACGCTTGCTCCTGGGGAGGAAAGCTATGGCAAATCTAGACAGCATACTAAAAAGCAGAGACATCACCCTGCCAACAAAAGTGCGTATAGTCCAGGCCATGGTTTTCCCAGTTGCAATGTATGGCTGTGAAAGTTGGACCATAAGAAAGGCTGAGCGTCAAAGAATTGAGGCCTTTGAACTATGGTGCTGGAGAAGACTCCTGCGAGTCCATTGGACTGCAAGGCATTCAAACAGGTCAGTCCTAGAAGAGATCAATCCCGACTGCTCTTTAGAAGGCCAGATCCTGAAGTTGAAACTCAAATACTTTGGCCACCTAATGAGAAGGAAGGACTCACTGGAGAAGGGCCTAATGCTGGGAAAGATTGAGGGCAATAGAAGAAGGGGACTACAGAGAATGAGATGGCTGGATGGAGTCACTGAAGCAGTAGGTGTGAATTTAAATGGACTCCAGAAGATGGTAGAGGACAGGAAGACCTGGAGGAATATTGTCCATGGGGTCGCGACGGGTCGGACACGACTTCGCAAGTAACAACAACAAGTGTCCACCCGATCTCAGACTACAATGCCCATCAGCCACAGGCCTAATGGCTCTGACGCCTGGGAATGTATTATCCATTGCATCGGCTTAGGGAAGCCTGATGTAGAGCAAAGGTTCAATTTAGTATTAAAAATTGTAATGCTTTGTTTGAAATGGAAAGACACAAGAAACTTGTAAAAGAGGTAATTATTTATCTGAAATACAGCTGTTCTGCATTTACTAGTTAACTTTCTTTGGGTCATAGTTGAAGAGGTCAAAATGGAACCAATTATACAAAAGGATACTAAGCTTTTCCTTTATATTTGCTCCATACAGGTAGTCCTCAACTTACAACTACAATTGAGCCCAAAATTTCCATAGATAAGCAAGGCAGTTGTTAAGTGAGTCATGTCCCATTTTACAACCTTTTTGCCACGGTTCTTAAACAAATCACTGCAGTTAAGTAAATCATGTGGTCAATAAGTGAATCTGACTTTGCCCCATTGACTTTGCTAGCCAGGAGCTCCCTAGAAAGATTGCAGATGACAATCCCAGGAACCTGGGATGCTGCAACCCTCATAAATACATGCCATTTGCCGAATTTTGATCACGTGATGGTGGGGATACTGCAATGGTCATAAGTGTGAGAAGCATCGTAAATCATCTTTTTCAGAGCAAACAGTCGCTAAATGAAAGGTTGTAAGTCGAGAACCACCTGTAATGCCCCTTTCATCATTTAATCTCATCTTATGATAACTACAGTTGTAATAGCTGACTTGCAATAGCTCGGCTTTTAATTATTTACATTTTGGATCAACAGCAGCAAGATTTGAGAGAGTCCAAAGTTTATTAGTTGATAATTAAACAGGCATTCTAGGGGGTATCTTTCTCTCTTCTCTTCCTTCCACTTGTGTGCTAGAAAATATGAAAAGTTGACCTATCTTTTTCTTTTGCTGATTGAAGTTGTCAATAATAACACCAATGAAGAGATTCAAAGTGAAGAAGGATCCAAAGATGATGAAGATGACGAAGTAGATATACATGTAGATGTTGTCCTCATACTTGGGCTGCTCTTCTTGCTATAAGCAGAGAAAAAATAATTATACATTGGGGAGAGGGAAGGAGAGAGCGAGCAAGAGCGTGAAAGAAAGAAACCCCAATCTCTATTTAATCGATTAATCTAACAAATCACAGTGTATTCTGTTTTAAATAATACAACATTGTGCAGAAAAATAATAAAATACTGGTCAAAAGGTGCAGGCAAAGGTAAAAGAAAAAGGAAATCTAACTAAAACTTATTTATATCAATAGCATCTATTATACTACTGCAAACCTTCCTATTGTTGCAAACCACCCTCATTGGTACTATATCCTTTCTTCACTTTATACACTGACTTTTTTATTCTTTAAACATTACTTTTGAGGAACTCCTTATATCCGCCCCCCTACAAATTTTCTCATACCCTTATCTTTGCCCTTTGATATTTTTTCCCTTTGTTTGTTCTGAGTTTTGATCTTTATTCATTCTCTCTCTATAATCCATGTAGCTCTCATGTATTTATTTTGTACTATTCACTTTTGTACTTCATTTAGATTCCTTTGACATTTAATCTTGATTATATCTTGTGTTATGTCATACATATTTTTTGCATAACCATTCTCACTGCATTCAAATTATTTTTAAATTGTTGCTATTTTATCTCAAACTCACATGCATCTAATAAACAGGGTAGTTTAAATATTTTGCTTTTGGTTAAATTTACACATTTAATAAAGAATGAAATGATTAAATGATGTCCTCTTCTGGGAAATCATTGTAATTTATGCATTATGCAAAATCTAATGATTAGAAAAGTTGCCCTTTGATTCAGAGGCTCATAGCAATCCATTAGGTACATAAATCTCTTTTAATTTCACTCTGAAATTAATTCTGGCCATTGCTGAATATTCTGTGGACAAAAGAGATCAGGACCTGTACACAGAAGGTGCAACTAGCATCTGACAATTGGATATTTTTTTTTCCCTTGAGATGATAATTAGCATTCTTTCTTATATAAAATAATAAAGTCACTCTTGCTTCTAAATCCCAGCAAGTAGTAGCAGCTGACTTGCCTTGTTTGGGCTCAGAAGCTGAATCAAACCTGGTTAGCCATGGCTGAGAAAATTATCAGAGAAATCAGAGCTATGGATTTGACCAAGAAGCTGAGAAACATCCTAGACTAGGGCAATAGCAAATCACTTCTGTATTGTTGCCAAGCAAAGTAAATGGTTCTGTCTGTGCAAAAATCAAGGACAATCTACTCTTTGTTTTAAAAGCAGTGCTAGGATCATAGCAATATTACCTTTCTAGAATCTACTGCTGCATACATTATATCCATCCAGCCTTTGAAGGTAGCCTATGGAAAAAAAACACACTTCTTTTAAAGAGGAGGAAAAAAACAAAGCAAGATAACCATAGCACAGAGCAACATGAATAACCAACATTTATTTTTTTGCTTACTTACAAACAAGATCTGAAATACTGTATTCGCTTTTAATTAGGCCTAGGAATTTTCATTTGTTAACATTTTTATCTCATTCTAAATACCCAAGAGGTATATATCTACCTTTCCACTTTGTGATTTAATATCAGATGCCTGAGTTTCATCCCCCCAAACTTTTTTCCTTCTTGCCACATCTTTTAAATTATAAACTCAGAACATGAAATATTATAGTTTCCAACTTTTGTAAGCTGCTTGAAAGGGTTTTAAAGCAAAGTCCAATTACTTTGCATACATAATAGAATGCATAATATTATATATACACCATTAGCATACTAACTTCTGCAAATATTGGTCCTTATGTAGTCAAAATGATACAATCCCTCCGTAAGAAGGAGATGTCAGCTGCCCTGAGCAAACCTGAGGTTTTGCAGAAGTAAAGAAACCAATAAACAATCTTTTCCTCAGCCACTCTGAAAATATTTATTTCTATTTAGGGAATAGTTTAAAACATTTACATTGTGCGTACTGATTTTGTTAAAGGGATGGCTGTGCTGATTACATGTTATTAACTGCTTTTATTACCGTATTTTACAGTGTATAAGATGATTTTCTAAACCATGCAAATCTTCTCCGAAGTCGGGGGTCGTCTTATACGCCGGAAAATATCGTATTTTCCAGCGTATAAGACAACTTTCTAACCATGCAAATCTTCTCCGAAGTCGGGGGTTGTCTTATACGCTGAGTCGTCTTATACGGCAGAAAATACGGTATTTTCCAGTGCATAAGACGACTTTCTAATCATGCAAAACTTCTCCGAAGTCGGGGGTCATCTTATACGCCGAGTCATCTTATACGCCGGAAAATACGGTATATTATTTTCAAGAAAAATAACTTTGGTGGAATTTCTTACCCATCCTAAACATACAAGGGGTATACTGTAAGTGCATTTATTTTGGTAAATGGTACATCCATTTGTTCTCTGGCTTGTATATGGAATGTGCACTAGGATAGTCTGCAAATCCTTAACAAAACATTTGCATGTTGTTATTATGATTTGGGGCAAATTGTGAAATAATTTAATCCTAATATTCCTGTTTAGTTAAAAATATTTCACAAAATAATACATTATAACATCCAATGTAATAAAATGTAATTTTAGAGTCATTTGTTGAGCTGGGCGGCTACAGAAATCAAATAAATAAAATAACATTAAAATAATATCACTTTTTAAATTAAAATAATGAAAAGAATCTTCATCTAGTTTTTTTAAACTTCCAGATTAATGGATTTTTTTTTAGGATACAATCAGCCTTTTTTTTTATATAGCACCACAATTTCTGAAATCCTCAAATACATTTGCAGGAAAACTTGAAACTATAAAATGATAGACATACCATACCTTTTTGAATCTCAAAAAAAAAAAAAAAATCCTCAATGAAGTTGCTCTATAATTCATTTCCAAGTGATTTATTCTACTACCCCACCTCTGCTTCTCATGAATATACAAAGTCTAATTGCTTTTGGAAGAACAGATGGACTTATGAAATAAGATCGTTTGGATCACAGCCTATCTTCAAGATGACCACTATTAAACGTCAGTTGGTAAAATCCAAAAACAAAAGTGAAAAGAGACTATATTGCTTAGAATATATTCAAACTAGAAACACCCCCCCCCCACACACACATTTTCCAGCAGCAACATGGAATTAAGAATTCTTTAGAATTCTTCAGGAAGCTATATACCACTCCTCTTCTAGCTTCTAGCTTCTAGCTTCTGTTCTGTTCTGTTCTATTCTATTTCCATCTTCAGTGCTTAAAAAAAATACACTGCTCTTAAATCCTCACTAATAAAGGGGATGCAAGTGAAGATAATTAAGATTCTTTCCCATGTTCATTATTTCAAAAATGGAAATAACTTCTTGATTGGCCCCTGATAATTGCTGCAAAGCACAATTTAAAAAAAAAAGCCAAAAATGTTTGGCTGATCCATCTGAATACGGGAAAAGATACATGGGATTACACAAAAGGAAAACATTTTTAAGATCTCAACATTTTGGCAGTTACACACTAGCCGTCAAGGAACAAAAAATAAAATAAAATAAAACTTACGATTTGTAAAAGGGCCAGGTACCCTGCACCGACATTGTCAAAATTAATCTTTACATTCTTCCACCGGATATCGGTTTCATTGGGATTCATCAGCTTCTCACACTCTGTCTTGTTGTTGACTTCTTCTGTGTTAAATTGATACTCAGACGTCTCATTAAAGCAGTAATGATACTTCCCAGCAAAGAGATTAACCCCCATAATGCTGAAAATCAACCAGAAGATAAGGCAGACCAACAGCACGTTCATAATGGAGGGTATGGCACCCACTAAGGCATTCACAACCACCTGTGTTGGGAGGAGAGGGACGGGAGAGAGAGCTTCAGTACAGAAAATAGGATGGCTTGAATTTTTTTTTTACAAGCAAAACGTCCATCTGTCTAGTTTTAGCAAGGGGAACAGAAGCAAGTCTAGTCCCACAATACTCATCTTAATTCAAAAATAATCATGTGTCTTCAAGCGTTTTGTTTTTCAAAAACCTTTTATTAAATAACTCATCCAAACAAATATTAGGAATTTGTTTTATTTCTTTTGCTATTCAATAGGTGGTTGATTTAAAAAATAAAAAGAAAAATTAAGATTGTGGATAGGAGGGGGTACCTTGCCTTGATAATGTTATGAGTCCAGGGGAGTCTAATATCTAAGTCTTAATCATATTTTTGGAATTCAGACACATGTAAATTAACTTAGCCAACAATCTTTCCCCGTTTTAAAACCAGATTCATAAACCTGTTGGCCCTGTTACTCCTACTCCCATGAAGCCACATATTTCAAATGGGAGTAGGAAAGGGTGCCAAACTTGTTCTAAGACTTAGTGGTAGCTTAGTATAAAATTAATCAGGACTATATATTCTTTAGTAAGCAAGACCAGAAATGTCCTAAGAGCTGAGCATGCATACTTGCAAGCTCAAAAACAAAAGCCATATTCCCTGCTCTGCTTCACAACAAATGAAACTCATGTTTTATAGTTTCCTTCCTTCCTTCCTTCCTTCCTTCCTTCCTTCCTTCCTTCCTTCCTTCCTTCCTTCCTTCCTTCCTTCCTTCCTCCCTCCCTCCCTCCCTCCCTCCCTCCCTTCCTCTTAGAGCCTTTCCCATTGACTTGACATCAGGAAAGTATTTCTAGTGCAAGGTCAAAATGTATGTCTAGAATAGAATAGAATAGAATAGAATAGAATAGAATAGAATAGAATAGAACAGAGCTGGAAGGACCTTGGAGGTCTTCTAGTTCAGTCCCCTGCTCAAGCAGGAGATCCTATATCAGTGATGGCGAATCTTTTAGAGACTGAATGCCCAAACTGCAACCCCAAACCCACTTATGCATCGTCGAATGCCGGGTGGGTGTGGCCCATTGGGTGGGTGTGGCTGCGGTGGTAACAGCAGACTGGGTGGGACTAAAAAGTTCAATCAATCAATTCCAACTTTGCAAAATCTTTTTTTTCCCGTGAGAAGTTGAAATTGACTGATTGAAACTTATTTTTTTTTTTGCACCTGGCGGCGGAAGCCTAAAGCGAAAAGGTTTTATAAAACCCAGCTAAAGGCCTAGGACTGGGGCAACAGCGTGCGTGCCCACAGAGAGGACTCTGAGTGCCACCTCTGGCACCCATGCCATAAGTTCGCCACCACTGTCCTACATCATCTCAGACATGTGACTATCCAGTCTCTGCTTAAAAACCTCCAGTGATGGAGTACCCACAATTTCTGAATGCAAGCTGTTCCATTGGTTAATTGTCCTCACTGTTGGGAAGTGTCTCCTTAATTCCAGGTTGCTTCTCTCTTTTATCAGTTTCCAACCATTGTTTCTTGTCCTGCCCTCTAGTGCTTTGGAGAATAATTTGACCCCCTCTTCTGTGTGGCAGCCCCTCAAATACTGGAATACTGCAATCATGTCGCCCCTATTTCTTCTTGTCTTTAGACTAGCCAGTAGGAATTAGCTCTCAGAACTCTGTAATCTCCCTGACTTCTGTTAGCTCTACCCCCTGTGGTGGAGGCAAATATCACATGAAGTTCCTCCAGTCAAAAACCCTCATCTACTTTCTGCTGATTACTGTATTTTTTTAAGTGTCAACAGATGGCACTATTATTTTACATTAAGTTTCACAATGATGACATAGCATAATTTGTGTTTAGATGCATAATCTGCAAAAGTTAGGCACTATATGAAGCAGAAAAATCATTGCAATCAACAGCCCATTGACTTCCGAATAGAGGCCTATCAAAAATAACAGAAACTATTAAACTCAACATTATCAGCCTATATTTCAGATACCCACTGAAAACTCAAAGATCTCATTCTTTATTTTTGACATGAAATAATGAGGGAAATAAAAACCAAGTAAATTTATTGGTCATATTATTGTAACTTGACACAATGTTTCATTTTTATTTGCTCTTTATTTGTCTTGCATAACAGGACCAAATGTATCTTTTACTTTTCTATTCTTTCACTTATAAAGTAATCATTATGCACATAGATTAAACAAATTATCAAAACCATTGCATTGCATGAGAAAGGGAACATGGCTTTTGTGTGACAACTATATATTAGAAATAGTAAAGGTCATGCATATTTCATAACAATATTTTAATTCCCTTCCCCCAAATATAAAGAGCGGAAGATATTTTTTAAATATTAAGTTGTTAGGCCACAGAGGAAAAACAAAGAACAATATTTAATGGTCTTTAGAAAAAATACTTTGGTTTTTGTTTCATTCTCATGAAGTCAGTTTATACTGATGGCAAAAAGATAAGGCTTGAATTATATATGGATTTAAATAACTTCTAACTGGGTTTAAAATTCCTACTAGAAAGAGCCATTCTCTATTAGAAAGATGCTGGGAAACAACTTTTCAAATCAAGTTAGCTAAAATGCCTGATAATTTATGTTACATTGCTTTCATTAGAAACTCTAGTTTCTTTTGAAAGTAACTATAATAAAAGCAGCTGTCGAGATTTTTTTTTTTTTTTGTAAAAGTAACATTTGTACAGGTCAGAACAAATGTCAATCCACATTCATATCTGAAGTACATTCCATTGAATTTGGGTCAAGGTCTAACACTATACTGCAGTCCTAAACATATTTATTATTAACCAGAGTAAGCGCACTAAAACTAGTGGTGCTGATTTCAGTATAAACATGAATAAAACTGTCCTGTTAATTTAGTTCTACTTGGTGTCTAGAACTAATGAACTCAAATCTGAAATGATAACTGAACACGATCATTTTGAAATCCCATTGAAAAGAATGGTTGTTCTATAACCATCATTTTCTTAGAATTGGCCACAATTTATTATACAATTATATACCCAGGGCTCAAAATGTTGCATATTGTTTCTCCATGTGAATAATTCCCCCATCCCTGCACATTTGTCCTTAGTATGTGGAGAAAGTTAAATAAGGATTATCTTTTTACCATTATACAGCACAGGAAGATATTAATATAAGAGATAACATCCAATCTCCGTGTAAAACCAAACTGATGGAACAGGAAACGGAAAAGAGGGAGAAAAGCTATCAGTCAAGGCTGCCAGTCACGAGTGGACTGGACTGAGAACAACGAGGTGCAAATGAGAGGAATTAAACCAGAAATCTTTTCTCGAGGGGAGCACTAGATTCCCTCCAATATCCAGCCCTTTTCTGCAATCCTGAATATTTCCCCAAACAAGGCAGGAACAACTTGAAAACCAACCATTGTATTTTGATCTCATTTTTGATCCATCTTGGGTCATAACTTTGGGGGAGGGGGAGAAGAAAAACTTGGGGTGGTTCAAATTCTGATTCTTTGCACCTGGTGATTCTCCCTATCCCAGATTTACAGCCAGAAATGCCCCCTTGAATACTACAGGTATTAAAAGCCAGGCCAAAAAAGAACAGCCAAGTGCCAACAGAGAATCTACAAATGACATGTAGTTTGGGCCAATAATGAGGCAGCTTAATATATCTCCCTTTTTTCTATTAGTATGTTGTTGTTGTTGTTGTTATGGCAATCACCAAATAAAAAAAGGGAGAACTGTGCAGCAGGGTGATGGAGAATCATAAACAGAGGGAAGTGATCACGTCAGCAGCTGCATCATGATTCTGTTTGTTACGTCTTTCTACCAATTTGATCGGTTCTAGCATGCTTTAAAAAAAAAAAACCATAATCCACAGGCATGCAGAAGGATCAGCTCACTAATGGCATCTTACCCTCATCCCCTCAAATCGGGACAACGCTCTTAAAGGCCTCAAGGCTCTGAGTGTCCTAAGGGATTTAATGGCACCTAGTTCCGAGTAGCCCAGGGCATTAGCTATAAGGCTGACTAAAGAGACCTACACAGAAAACAGGAAAAGAAAGGAAAAAGAAAAAGAAAAAAGAAGAGGTTCCAGACTGTTAGCATAAATCCCCTAGCACTGGCAGTATATTCATTCCCCAAATTGGACTGCAGGCCCAAGCCACCCCCATTTACAGTGACACCGAAGAAGGCATGGCCATCAGCTGCTGCCTACAGCACTTCACTGAAAGGACCTGGAAGGAAATAATGCAGTTGAGAGAGGCATAAATATAAAACACAAGGGGACAAATAAGTGAGAGAGAGAAAGAGAGGCACAGACACACACAGACGGAAACAGGGTCTGTTGGAGATTAGGAGCCCAAACGGATGACAAGAACCTTACCCTCGCCCTCTTAACAGTCTGCAGGATCCCAGCAGCTCCCATTAAATTAAGCCAGACAAATTTTTAAAGGACCTATGAAAAAGAATACAGATAAATACACACACTGCACAAAGCTCCTTAATTCTCTCATTTGGGTGGGGATGGGGAAATGGGGATGACCCACCGACATAGCATCACAAAATTAAGAGAAAAACAAATATCTAGCTTTCCATGTTTCTCTTCTGAAAAAGCAGTTCATCTCTTAAGAGTTTACAACCTTTGTGTCAGAGCAAAGCCTTTCTGAAGGTTTCGTATCACCAGCTTTCTGTTTCCTGGTGTAGGGAATGGGTGGCATGGAATAGCTGTTGCAATCCAAAGAATCTGGAAGCCATTTAGTGGAGAAGGTTATTGTTTTCTCTTATTCTAAGTAATAACAGGACTGTATTGTACTACTGGTGAGGACTAAGATCCTTTCCTCACATTAGGATGTTAATAAGATATAGTGGATGCATCACATATGAATTCTTTATCTCAGGCTTCCAAATTCTGGTACCATCTATATGTGCTCAGCTACAAGCCTATTACCCCTGCCAGAATAATAGATAATTGGGCCCAGATGGAGGATGTTGAACTCTTTATTAAATAAAGGTGCTCTTTCAATAGGCAACTGGAGTGTTTTTCAAAAAGCAACTGGACTCGGAAAAAACAGCACCTTTGAGACAACTATAACCTGGATGACTGAGAATCTCCACAGATATTCTTTATTGCAAAGTGTGCATCATGTTGGAATGCAATATGTTAGCTTCCTGTCAGTGTTCATACATGATAGGACTAATGAGAATTGGGGTTCTACAACATTTGAAGTTGGAGTTCAGGATATGAAGCCCATTCCTGTTCTAATGTCAGAATGCATTCTGGGAGCCAGTTCACAAATTACCATTAGCAGTATCGCTGCTGCTTCCAGGATTGGCTCCCATTTTGCACTGGTAGCTCTGGAATAAAGACAAATGATGTAACCAGGCTCAACATATGTCTGCTTCTGATTTTAGACTATACAGGTAGTCCTTGACTTACAACAGTTCATTTAGTGATCATTCAAAGTTACAACAGTACTGAAAAAAATGACTTATTGCCATTTTTCACACTTATGAACGTTGCAGCATCCGCATGGTTACGTGATCACAATCCAGATGCTTGGCAACTGACTCATATTTATGATGGTTGCAGTGTCCCAGGATCATGTGATCCCCTTTTGCAACCTTCTGACAAGCAAAGTCAATGGAGAAGCCATGTTTACTTAACAACCCTGTCACTAAATTTACATCTGAAGTGATTCATTTAACAAATGTGGCAAGAAAGGTTGTAAAATGGAGCAAAATTCACTTAACAAATGTCTCGCTTTGCAACATAAATTTTGGGCTTAATTGTGGCCATAGGTCAAGGACTACCCTGTATATTCTATCCACTGACCTGCACTGGAGCAACAGAATTACAGGTCCATAATCTTCAGTGTAGAGCCATTCAGTCTGCACTGGATTTGGGAAAATAATAAAAATAACATCTGCCTATCCAAAGTCCTTGGGAGAGACTCAGTATGTGGTTCAAAATGCCAAATCCAGTCTAAACATCTGGCTAACTGTAATAATAACAATGTGGTGTCCTGATAGCATTTAAGATTTACAGTAATATAAAGAGGAAGTATGGAGAAACTAGAACTCTCTATCTCTCTTTCATTCTCTCTTTTGATATATGTTATGGGATGTACTGTAGATATGTACATATGAAGGTACTATATTTATGTCTCCTTAAAACATCTTGTTTATCATTCTGAAACTTAACCTTCTATAAGTAAGAGTGTTATTAGAGAGTGTTTTAAAATATTAATTTTAGTTAACACTTATGTTAATTAAATGAAATATAATAGTACTGTCTGGAATGCTCCAAAAAAGAGGGCAATACTTTTAAGCAACTGCCAAAGAACTAAAGTTAAGGACACTGTTTTTTTCAGGGATGACAGCCAGATTGGAGAATAATATGCTGAAGTTTTGAAATATAGTAATATATATTTGATCTGGCTGGGAGAAGCAACTGATTGTCTCAAAGGTGCTCTTCAAAAGACAACCAAACTTTCTTGGTTGGTCAACCAAAAAAATCCAGTTGCCTTTTGAAAAGCACTTTTGGGACAATGATGATCTGGATTACTGAGAATCTCCATAGACAACTGATCTCTCATTTGGGGAGATCAGCTCCAGAGACAGTTTGTCCATTGTAGGGTTGGCCTTCTGGAATGGCTTCCACAAGGTGTGTTTGGCCCCAATCTTGGTCCCCTTCCAGAAGCATTTCAGTTCCAGAGTGCATTGGGGGACTGACACCAAATGTTCTTCAGAGTTTAGGTTTGTCTGTTTTGACTTCTGGTTTTATGTTATGACATTTTCAATGTTATTGCTATTTTTCTTTTATTCTATGAGCCTCAGAGAGTCTGTGTAGGATAGTGGCAGAGCATAAATGTGAAAAAATAAATAATTATGAGGTGGGCAGCATGGATCTGTCTTCAGATCATTTCATTGTTGTTCACCTTAATCTTCTCCAAGTGGATTTCCAATTGCCGTGTCCAATATGAAACTATTTTTGAATAAGCAAAACTCCTATGACAATTATTTTGTCATTATTGCCATTGCATGTTTTCAAAATACCAAATGTTTCCCTGGCCCAATAGGTTATCTATTCTGTGTTGGTTAAAAACATGATAGATGGACTCTATAAGTTGATCAAGGAGCACTAGAATACCTGGACTAAAGGGAAGGTGGATAAAAGAAAGTTTGAGGATCTAGTAATTGAAAAGTGGAAATAAGTCAATAAATAAAAAACGAGATTGTAAACTTACAAAGACATAAGCTTACAATCAATGAAACCAGAAATGTATTTGAAAATGTATCAGTGTTGGGATAAAAATTGTAAAATATCTAATTTTAAAAATGTAATTCTATTTTTGGGAGCTTCCGGTGGTCAGCGACGATGATGGCGGCTACTTTGTAGCCGTCCTCCTGGGACGGCGTTAGATCTGCGGAGCACAGCGCGCATCAGCTGGCCCGCGGCTCAAAATCCCCTTCCCGGGCGAAGGGAAGGGGTAGAGACCACACGAATAGAGGTAGAGCCTCTTAACCCCCCCTGGATCTTTTTTTTGGGGGGGGTTAGAAAGAGTGTTCCCTCAGAGTTCGTGCTTTCTCTGCCTCCCAGCTGTCTTTGTTTCTTTGGAAACAAAGTGAAACGCCGCTACCATCTCCGCACTTAAAGTTTCTGGGTGAGTGATTTTTAAAGCGGACAGAATTGTTTAAAGGATTTTATTTAGAGTTAGAGTTTTATTTCTTTTTATTTTTCTGTGGTGGAGAGTGAGAGTGAAAGTAAGATGGCGTTTTGAAAGTGCTTTTTTTTTTCCTTTCCGGAAAGAAAGAACGGATTTAAATGAAACGCATGGATAGCACAGTTCCTTTTTCTTTCAAGTTTTTTTTTCTTTTTTAAAGTGTTTTGGAGGTTCTGAAGTTTCTTTTTTTTGCACTCTCCCTGTTCTTTTTTTTAACTTTAAGGATTTTAGTATTTTTCTTTTTTTAAGAAGAAAGAGAGAATAAGATTTTTAAAAAATGGCTTCAAAGAGACAACCAGCTTCTATAGTTTCTAAGGTGATTTCTTCTCCTGCAATTGCAACTGTACAACAACAACTTAAAGTTACACCACCAGTGCTGCAACCTAAGGTTACACCTCCATCTTCTCCTCCTTTGCCAGGCTTGTCTGCACAAGACATTAAAGATATAATGGAAGATGCTGTATCTCAAATCAGGGAGGAAATGAAGCAACTTCTTGAACAGAGCAAGTCTGAAAGTAAAGAGGAAATGAAGGACCTTTTTAAACAGAATAAAGATCTTCTTGAACAGAATAAATCTGAAACTAAAGAGGAAATGAAGGAGCTTTTAGTGGAGAATAATATTATTTTGAGGCAAGACATAGTTACAGCTTTATCAGGATTGGCTTCTGTGGTTGTGAAGTTGGATTCCAGACTGGAAGAAGTTGCAGAGAAAGTAGATTTCCTTGAGGACAAATTTCAAGATATGGAAAAAAAGATGGAAACTTCACAAGAGGATATTCTTATGTCTCAGTATAGGCAAATGGAATATGCTTTGAGAATTAGGGGTCTTAAAGAAGACATGAATCAAGACCTGATGGAGATGGTGATTAATGACCTAGCTGTTGTTCTGAATAGGGATAAAGATGGATTACGTAGAGAAGTGGAAAAAATCTACAGAGTTAACTCCTGGATTGCGAAACAAAAGAATTTGCCAAGAGATGTGGTGATTTACTTCGCAAAAAGATCTCTGCGTAACGAGATCATACAAGCTTTTTACAATAAGAGGTTCCAGATTGCTGCCCAAGATGTTATCATTTTAAAGGAAATCCCATCTAAAATTCTAAGAAATAGAAAAGACTTTGCTTTTTTAGCTAATGAGCTTAAAACAAGATTGATGCCATTCAGATGGGAGATTCCGATGGGTATTGCTTTGAGCCATGCGGGGACACGTTACAGACTTAATACGGTTGCCAAAGCCAAAGAGTTTTACAACACGGTCCTGGGAGCAGGCTCATCTCCATCTATGATTCAGAAAGCTCTGGGCGGCAAAGAGGCG